TCATGTGATTATCACACAATTATCACATTATCGCTTATATCAACACGATTTGGTGTGATTTGAGTGTGATATGGGTGTGATTATCGCTTATATCAACATGATTTGGTGTGATTTAGGTGTGATATGGGTGTGATAATCATGTGATTATCACATTATCGCTTATATCAACACGATTTGGTGTGATATGGGTGTGATAATAATGTGATTATCACACAATTATCACAAGAATTCCACTCGGCTAGGGTTAACTTAGAAAATCGACTATYGATTTGGTGTGATATGGGTGTGATAATCATGTGATATCACTATCATAACAGCGCACTCGATTTGATCATGGTTTCGATCGGTTAGGGTTAGACAATCACACATTTATCATAACGATTATTCATGGTTACGATAGGTTAAGATTAGACAATCACACATTTATCACAACGATTACGGGCGAAATCAATTAAACGATTTGGTGTGATATGGGTGTGATAATCATGTGATATCAATATTATAACATCACTTGCGCACTCAATTTGATCATAGTTTTGATCGGTTAGGGTTAGACAATCACACATTGATTACTCATGGTTTCGATAGGTTATGGTTACACTTGATTGACCATGGTTTCAATAAGTTATGTTTACACAATCACACAATTATCACAAGGGGAGAGAAGAGAGTGGAAACGAACGTGCATGAAAAAAGGGATAATTATGACTAATTAAAATAAAATAAAAATTATAAAAATTACTTAATTACATTATTATCCTTATTAATTTATTTATATTTAATATAAGTTAATTTATTAATTAAAAAAGTTTGAGGTTATTAGGTTGTTCTCGCGTTCTCGTAAATCATAAGAGTTCTCGTTTGAACCTCCACCTATACACACACACACACACACACACACACACACACACACACACACACACACACACATATATATATATATATATATATAGGGTTGACTTCCGATGAGAATAAAAGTCATGGCAATAAGCGTAAAAATAGATCTTCATCCTTGAATCAATCCTAATTAATGTCAACACTAATAAGGTACACCGAGATGCACCAGATCGATTCATGTGCGAACATGAGATTGAAAGTGATTAAAGGTTCAAATTGCTTTTTAAGCTTTTCATCATAACTTCCATTCGACATATATCCTTCGCATATATGTATGTATGTATATATATGAGTCTAATCAAATGAGAATTAGATAGTTTGTGGTAATCTTGAGATCCAATGTGAGCCAATCATTTAAGATAATTAATATTATTTACTAAAACAAAATAAAGGGTAAATGGATAATTTGACAAAAAAAATTATAACAAATCAAAATAATCAGTTATTCAATCTAGAGTTACTTAATTTATTTGAATTTACCTTAAATATCCTATTTTGAAGCCCACGCCTCTCATCTCTCTCCTCGCTGAAGTTGCTCTCCGCTTATCTCTCCCCCACGGTCGCTCACCATATTCGGCGAACCATCCCCTCTCTCCATGGCCGCTCACCAAAGATGCAGTCCAACCGGAGAGAAACAAAGATGGTGGTGGATTGTTGTATGACAACTGGCCTCAATGCTGAAGGATCAATCGTTTGAACGGGATCCCTACCGAAGAGAAACATAGAAAATTGTCGTATCCGGGGTGTTGCTGTACATCTGCCTACACATTGCTGACAAATTTTTGTTTGAACGGAATCCTGCTGGAGAGAAACCGGCATCGGTCTAGTTTTGGATCTTGAAGATGATGACAAATATATAGATCTGATTTCCAAACCCCCCCCCCCCTCCCCTCTTTGGTTTTATAATGAGGCTTTTTTGTTTCTAAAATTATGTTTGTAAAGGATGTTTTCTGGTTTAAAATTCATACCTATCATAATGGTATCACAGTATATCTTGTATGTATTTTGTGTATCACAACGAGTATCATTTGTATATATATATATATATATATATATATATATATTTTTTAGCAATGTCGATATTTTTAGGTATCACATTGTATAGCGTTTAATTGGTGTTCGTCAGAATAAGGTTTACCGGAGATCGGGGATCAGAGAT